GGAATGGAAAGAGTTATCTTTGCAGGAGCAGGAGACCCCCTGGGAGCTATTCAATGATCTGGCACTTCCTGGAAGGCAAGGATGGACTCCTTTCCTTCCCTACCACCATGAAATCATCCTTCAATGATTCTGCACACAGTGGCAGAAGAGGTGTATTCAGTCCCAGGGGAGCTGCACTAGTGCTCACAAATGCTGGACTGGAAAGCCCAGCCCTGCAATCCAGCTGAGCCTCACCACTGTGCTCTACCTGTTCCAGCATTGTCTCTGCTGGACTTGCAGAGCTTCATTTGGAGGCAAGGCAAATAATTTGCCTTTACTGGGAAAGGCAAGGGGAAAAGAACTTTTGTGGTTACCAAAACAAGATTCAAACCAAAAGGCAATTCACACTGTAGACTTTGTCACTCACTGCTTCCAAGCTATCCAGTGGGCCTGACTCAGGCTCTTCTGTGTACCTCTGACTGACAATAGACTTTTTTTCACAATTCTGAAGCCCCCAATACTATCCTGACAATCCCCAGTGCCACCCCAGCAGCACCACCCCACAGTAGCAGGCACAAAGCCAGCAGATCAGCTATCACCAACCTCACCCCACACCAGATGCCTCCTTAGTCTGCCCCACAAGGTGAGGCCCCATTTTCTGGAACTAAGGCAAAGATGGAATTTGCTTCATCTGCAAGCTATATAGATCCTTTCTATCTTCCCGAGCCCAGCACAGATGAGAACAGCTGTGTGGCAGTGTTTCCCTAAGGCTCCAGCTCTGTTGAAGATGCTGAAATACCAATTTAAGTTTAAAAGCTGGAGAGCAAGAAAGAAGTAAGTGGCAGGGAGAGTAGGAAGGGCAACCACAGAAAGGTCTGGATTGGAAAGACTTTAAAAAATAATATAATCCAAAGCCCCTGCCATCAGCTGGGATATCTTTCATTAAATCCGGTTGCTCAAAGCCCAGTCCAACCTGACCCTGATCACTTTAAATGATGGGGCATCCAGTGCTTTTAAATGAAACAAAATTAATACCAGCTCCCCAGAAAAAAAAATAATTCTTAGTTTCTTTAAGAGACTTTTTGTGTAGGACAAAACCCATTGTGCACACTGCTGGACAGGACCTGCTGAGGAAAGAGGGAGGGGGCAGGCAACACCAAACATGTAAGCATGGAGAAAGAAGCCAAATATACAGGAATCAGACAGTCAGAACCCATGGCTGGTTGATGCCTCATCCATCTCAGGACTCATCTTCTCCCAGCATGAAGAGAAGATGCTCTCAAACTTCAAACACATCTAGCTCCATCCAAGGACCACCTCGATCCCAGTTAAACTCTTAGAGCTACTGTTCGGATATCTGGACATATAACTTTGATTTCCAGCCTAATTCCTTAGCAGCTACACTTCCTGCCAATGCACAATTGTTCACCTTGAAGATAAATATCTTCCCCAAGCTTGAATGGCTCTCCTCTCTCTGTGGGGTAAATAAAGAGTTCTGTAAGATGATGAGCACCAGCACTTCCCAGGAACTGTGGTGCTCACATCTCCCAGGATCAAACAAGGTTAATGCCCTGCAAACTGCCCCAGTGAGGAGTGGCAGCACTAAATCCCCCAGAAATCCATCCCAGAGCACAGCAGATGTTTGCAGGACCTATACAAACAGGCTGTGCCAGCCTCTTGGGCTGCCTGCATGGCAGAGACTGTGCAGAATGCTAAGCAGGGCTCAGGTCTTATTGATGATGATTACAATTATGATCATTACTTCCACCACTACTGCAGTGATACCCAGGGGCCCCCAAGCAGATCCCTGCAAGAGCAAGACACGGTCTCTGCTTTGATGAGAGGATAAATCTGGTCTGAAACAAGCTGCAGTAACTCAGCAAGGAGGGGGGCTGGCAGTACCAGGAAAATTGCTACTTCAGTGGTCTAAACACATGCCTTGAGTGCTTCAAATCACAGTAAAATGTTCCTGGATTTTAAACTGTTGGCTGTTGCCATTTCACTTTTTTTTTCAGTCATGTAACCATTTCTAACTTCTGTTAAAGTTCCATTAAGCAGCTTTTAATCAGCACCTTCTGGCTGAGTTTTGTGCAGGTGTCAGGAAATAAAAAACAAAATTGAAGTCAAGGTGAAACTAAAGAAATGCTTTAGTAGGAGATAGGAAGGAGAGGGGAACACAAAGCACCTGCTCCACAGTCTATCATTCCAGTGCTTTCTCCTCTGCTTTCAATATAATCAAGAAATAAAACCACAAATTCAATCAGCTGGACAGGCCCTCTACGTACAAGCAACACACCTACAAAATAATAATAAGGACCACAAGGCCAGGGGGATTTAACATTCCTAAACGTTAAAAGCCATGAGCTGAAGAAATTACCAGGAACAGAATTTGCCAGTCTCCCAGAGAAATTCCAGATACTACAAATGCTGCAGGGAGCCAATTCCAGTGACACTGCTGGGGTAGCCAAGGCTGTGATGAGCACAGCCACCCCCTGACCCATAACAGCCCCAGGACAGCCCTTTCCCAGAGCAGTGCTGTTGCTCCCACTCATCTCCAGCAGAAGGATGCATGGGAAGCCCATGCAGATAAGCAGCTTTGGCAGGGTAGGAGGGATGAAAACACACCAGGGTTCAAGGGGATGCTGCCTCTCCTCTACCTACAGACTCACAGCTAACCTGGAGGGAAAGACCTGCATGCAAGAGAGGACAAACTGAGCCAGAACGGCAGTGCCCCTGTAAGCAGGGAACCAGTGGGGCCTGGAGCCATCTCCCAGGCTGAATGATTGCTGCAGAAATCAGGGAGGTCATTGAAAAAACTATTAAGGAGCCTGGAAGAGAGAAGGGAGCCATGGAAAGTGAATGAAGCACATTGGGCTAAGTATTTCTCACTTCTCCCACAGCCCTCGCCTGCCAGATCCCAGCAGCCTCATGTTCCCAGGGTTATATATGGCTGGGTAATGGCTTTGCACGGGCTGCTGACAGCCACCAGCAGCGTGTCACCTTCTGGAAGTGGATTAGCTAAAGCTGCAGGCATGTTGTCACATCACTAAGGCTACCTCTGACCAGGTCTTGGCCAACCCTTAGCTCTTCCAGGCCTGTCAGATAATGATGGGATGTCTAAAAGCTCAGCATCAGACAAGGCAAGGAACTGGCACTGACACAGACCCCTGAGACCACTCGACTGTCTCCTGGTTTCCAGCAGACCCAGCCTGCAGGACCAGGTACTCTGGGCTGCATGAGAAAGGTCTGAGTGTTTTGTCTCCCCTTCTCAGCCTGCAGTGCCTGCTCTGCTCTTTGGGAAAACTTCCTTCCCCAAACGGCAAGAAACACAGAACTTTTTTAGATGATAATGTTCCTGAGTCACATACAATCAGACCTACAATCACTAAGACACTGACAATTAAGACATACTGATCTTTTTACACAAAAAATACTGACTGATTAAGAACAGATTTCCTAGAGGGAAAAGGGCCATTTTCCATTATTATTTTTAATTGCAAGAGAATTAGAAAAATAAAAATTTCCACTTGACTTGAAGGTGACATTTTCTTAGCATTTTCAGGGACTAATTTTTACTTTTTAAATTCCAAATGTCTTTTCCTTCCTATTTCTCACTAAGTTTTGTTACTGAAGGCAGCAGAACAGGTGCATATGATTTCGCTTTTCCCCCTCCAACACATTTTCTTTTTTCGTTCTGAATTCTCCGAAGTTAGATCGGCAGACGAAAAATACCCAAAACACTCATCAGGCTTTTCCAACTTTCCTATAAAATGTCCTTAACTTTAGAAAATCACTCAAGTGTAAGATTTAATATGCTCTTTTGTTTTTCTTTCTCTTTTCCATTACTCTATACTCTATAGTCTTCCTGCAAATACATACACTTTCAAAAGATAGAGCAGAAAGAGGAAAATATATACAGGTGATGTTTATTTTATTATACTCAACATAAAAGAGGAAAAAGTGGTGAAGAAACAATGTAGAGCATCCAAAACCAAATACAAAAGCTGGTTTGGCAATTTTCTTGAATACAACTGAGCTTTTCTTTGGAGAAAGGTTGGAGAAGAGGAGGGGGAAAACTTCCCCCCATTTCTACCTAAATCACCAGGAATAGAAATGCCATGCTCTGCCAAAGCAGCTATCACTCTCCCCTAAAATCACTGGCCTTCACTTGTTTCTGCTGCAGTTCCATCACAAACTCTCCATTGTCAGCCAGGGGCATCCCAGGTGCTGTAAGTTGCAGGTTTCCAGTTGCAAGTTCCAGAGGTGCTCCCACCCATGTACTCCTGCTCCTGGGAACTCGCTCCTTCCACAAGCCACAAACCCAAATCCCATGCTTGGTACCCAACTACATCAAGAGAGGAGGACTTTCACAGCAAGAAGTAAAGGAAGGCTGACACACAGTCACTGGCAGGCATTTGTTTTGCTGACATAACAGCTCCAGAGGCCATTGCAACAGTCATCTAAATACCTTCCCAATATTTCATATTCAAGAGTGTTCCATTGTAGAGGGAAAGAACAAAAGTAGAACAATCCAGGCAGCAGACTGGAGAGAAAACACTTCTAGACTCACTGGCCAAATTTATGCCCTACCACCCCCAATTATACTTATATTCCCACAGATCAATCCCTTGTTTGTAAAGCATCCCCACTGTGCTGGGGTGAAAGAATCAATACTGAAAAGAGTTGTTCGAGTCCAAGCTCCTTGAGTCATCCTGTGCCAGCAGGGACCAAACAAGCAAAACCCCTTGAACAGTACCAGTCTTGGACACAGGACATGTGCTTTCAATTAAAACCGAGAAAGGTCTGTCCTCGTGTCCTGTCCCAGCCCTGTGCCTCTCAGAAGAGTAGCTAGCCAGAGCTAAGGGAAGAGACACCTTCACATTCCTCTTGGTTTGAGTCAACTGAGAAAGGGAGGCTCCCATAAACTCACCAACGAAGAGCAAATCAAGAACAGCCTGTTTCAGCAGTCAGTTCCTCTGCACTAGGCAGTTATAGTTCCTTCCTAAAAAACAAATACTCACCATCACCTCCTGATTGCTTGTATGGGTTGTACTTTGGTTTGGGGGCGACCACAGGTGCAAACTTCTTTGGCGTCTGCTGGGTGGACACGGAGATGCTGGGAGTCCCAAAGGTGTGTGTGGTCTCCATCCTTGCAGTAACGTGACCAACAGGCTCGTTGGTGCTCTTGGGTGGCAGCCAGGACGGGTGGGACATGGTTCAGCTCTGAGAGCAGACACAAAGAGAGTCACACGTAAATTAGCAATTTAGGCTGGGGAAGTAACAGGTGCAATCCTACTATTTTTCTGGTTTATGAAATCAATCCTATAAAACCCTTTAAAACACATTTAACTGGTGCATGCTTAACTTTAAATATGTTGTTCCTAATGTACAGGACTTTAGATTCAAATTTGTCTCTCTCCAGCAGGTCAGAATTACTGATCAGGTTATTGTTGGCACCTGCAAAAACCATTGCCATTTTCCTCTCCAAACCAGAACAGAGACAGACTGATACCCTGAAGCAGCCCATCAGTCCCACCCAGCATTCAGCACAGTAGTGACATATTTGCCTTTCCCTTTTCGGCCTTTTTGAGTACATTAATGTGCAACAGTGCAGGTGCTCTGGGGACAAGTCTAGTCACAGATAGGCACACACACTTCCAAAATACACTTTTAGCACTTTTTCACATGTCATTTAGGACCCCATGCCCCAGTGATTTTCATTCAGACTTTTAAGAAAACAGATTTCAAAAGTAGCTAATCATTCTTGATGCCTCCATTTCTGAATGCCCAGCTTAAGACATTTTAAAAGCATGTCAATTTTGAATAAATGCCAGAATCTCACAACCCCTGACAACCAGGCTCCTTTTAGACTTGTGTAACAAAAAACAGAGGCAGCCCAAACCATTACTTATTTATGAAAATCTTGGCTTTGGCCTCTTAAAAGCCTACATCACTTTTGAGAACTGGGTTCAGATGCTGCTGAAAATGTTGCCCATAAAAATCCTGTTAATTCCAATGAACAAGTGCTTTTCACCACACACAAACCACACTCGCTGGGTAGCCATGATAGCCCTACTGTACCATCAGATGGTCCTATGGAGCTGGATTTGAGATTTGATGGAGAAATGAAGATCCCTCACAGACAAAAGTCAATGCTAATTTTGCAGCTCTTGAGCACCCTGTCGCTTCTGCCCATGAAGCTTTGGTGTCAGAATCCCTTAAGGCTACCAAAACCAGCAGGCACCTATCACCCAAATCAGGAAAGATTTGATTTCACCATGGAAAAGGATCAGTGCAAGAGACAGGATCAAGGTCTCCACACGGTAGTGGAGGGTCAGCACCTCAGCTAAGAGCAATGACTGTTAAAACTGATGGATATACAGATGTCCTTATTCGAACCAGTAAATTTACTTCAGGAAACAATTTCCCACTTGAGTAATTTCTACTTTAAGTCCCAATGTCTGACCCAACACCAGGAGATAGATAATTTTTGGTCATCTTCCACCTGAATCACTCATTGTGTGACAGAGGAACTGGCAAGTGCCAAACATCAGTCCCAACACTTCTGTCTCTTCCTGGCCATACAGTCTGACTGCTTGATGTGCATACAGTGGTTTCACAATTCCTACAACTAGGAAGTGAGCTGCTGCACTAGGAATCCAATACCAGTGAAAGGAAGACACTGGAGCTGGCTAGAAATGAGGCAGACAGGAGCATGGCAGGAGCAGCCTGGAGATGTATCCAAGGCTGAGCTGCAAGGACATGACTTTCCTCCCTCACAGGCCTGCTGTCCAACTCACAATAAGAGTGTAGAGCATCGTTCTGAAAGCAAGAAGTGAAAGGCAAGTCATCTCCACAAGGCAGGAGAGGAAACCAGTCACAACGAGTGGGGGCTGAGGGCACATGAACCATGGTCCCACTGCCCAGCACTTCCCATGACCAACACCAGCCCCCGTGGACCTGGAAAATGACTGTCACTCCAGCAGTAAGAATCATCTACACTACTGTCTCCTACATCCTTCATAACTGTAAAAGCAGCAATAAAACTCAGACAACTATCTAGGTCTTAAGAGCAGAATGCAATGAGGGCAGTTAGCCTTAAGAGCTAAACAGGACGAGCCTGCACTCTGCAGAGTTATTACATCCAAAGATGACTGTACCTTACCCATTGCTAAAAGCATCCTGGAGTTTAATTCTGACAGGTTTTCAGCCTCTGGCTTGACATCTCATATGAAAGAGCCTCCTGCTGCAGTGAAGCACCCTCAGACCCTGGACATTACCTCCAAACTGATTCAACGCTAAAGGAAAAAAAAATCCCAGTACTGACTAGATTATCACCATTCTTGTTCTGGAATGTTCCTTAACCACCCTCAGGCAGCATGCCTTGGTCCCACTGAACTCTCATGGTCTGCTAGGCTGATGACAGGGATGGGTTGTGTGATGCACAAACAAAGAATGCCTGCTTCAGTAGCTAGGATGCACAGCACTGAGGATGGCTGAAGACAATGAGAGAATTTCAGTGAATGAGCTTAAAAAACAGACTGCTCCTATGGACAGCCTGGGAGCAGGGAGACCACAGTGCTGTAACTCAGCTGCTGACTGTAAGCTGGCACACAGCTCCCTCTCAGCTAACCTCTAACGCCTTTGTTTTGGCCATGGTGGTATTTTCTAATTGTTTCCCTGTTAGCCTTTTCTCTTCCTCTTTCTTCCCATCTCATTTTCTGTTATGCATTTACTGCTACTCATTTTTGCTATCTGTACCCTGACAGTGTTTTCAGCAAGTTCCCTTTTCCTCATCTGTTCCAGCCCCAGCTCCCCAGCCTCAATTAAATTTAGCCTAACTACTCTGCAAGATCACAGAAAAAGAAAATAAATTAATTTATTTTTAAAAACTGAAGCTAAACTTCAGGGTTTGCTATTATTTTCCCTCCATTTTGTCAGCTGGTAAAAGGCCAAAAGCAAGGAAAAAATGTAAGGGAGAGTGGCTTGCAGACAAACACAGCCCCCACCTCTCAGCAGGCTCCACTCTCCATGGTGGAGCACTCTGGCTAATTCAGACAAAGTCATGAGTGCTCTCTCTCCACTCCCTGCAATACTGCCTGGTTTTCCATAAGAAGCTTCTTTGGAGCAGAACATTTTGTGATGGGGACAAGTAATCAAAATAACACAGGAAAACTCAGGCCTATAACTAATTTCCTTACTCTAAACTTACTCTTACATCTGTCACTGCCCGAGTGTCACTGTGGTGCCTGCACTTGGACAGGAATATCCAATAGGTAACAGCAGTGCTTTTCTGGCTAACCAGCAACACAGCCAGCAAACACACGTTTCACTTTTGAGTTATTTTCTTCCATTAAAAGTTATTTTTCAGTGAAACATTAACCTACAGATTAAATCTACAGCTGCCCCCACATTTCTGCTCCAAGTAAGTAATTCATCAGGCACTGTTTGCAGTCAGTGAGCTCCTTCCTGGCAAACCTGGGTAGACCTAGCCATGCAAGAGTTAACACAGCAAGGCTGGAAAATCCTTAGCCAGCAGAGCCCTGTCCCTGGGAATCCTCCCAGAGGGACAGCCACCTCTTCCTCCCCTGTCAGTGCCACACCTCCCTCTGTCTTGGCTGAAACCTTCTGCATGTCAGCCTGCCACCCTCCTTGGGCAGCCGTAACTCACGGCTCCACTGCTGATCTGACTGCTACAAGCTTTTTCTGTGACTCCTTATTCACTGATCACTCTGGCAACACTCCCTTCCCAATTTCACTGCCTCATCCCCCCCCAGAAAATCCCTTAAATCTTTTCTATGTCACTGCTTTGAAAGCCTCTCATTGATCATCTTGACTCACCCTGAGCCATCCCCCAACTACTGCTCCACAAAGCTTCTGCTGAGCTAAAGAATATTTGTAATAAAGCACATGCAGCCTCAACTGAAACAATGCAAGTGTTGGAGAACCCAACACAGCATTAGGTAAACTGTTGGACAAAAAATTAACACCATAATTACAGCTTATCCTTTATGTCTGGCTTAAAATTTAGCTGGATCCACTTCCAACCATTGCATTTTGTTATGCTCCTGTCATCTGCATTACAGACATGCCTCTCTTCCTCACGAAGATCCTTTCAGAATGCAGCCAGATCATTGCTTAAATCAAACCGAAACATGTAAGTATCAATTAAACTCCCTAAAAAGGGCAGATTTCTCTTGATTCTTTCATGCATGTTTACTCTCAACTCTCTTCAATTTTCCAGCTACCTTTTCTGAAATGGTGGCTGATAACGTAAGACCATTTTTAAGAATAGTAACTTAGAAGAGGTAAAATGATGAATAATATCAAAAACAAAAACCTGACTGAAATCAGCTGTGGACGCCTGAGGTTCTGTTATCCTTTCTTCCTTGGAAGCATTAGTCATCACCCACTTTTGGAGGCAGAGGATAAGACCAGACTAACCATGATAAATAGCATTAAGGGCAAAGAGTGAAATCACGCTGCATAAATAAGGCAAACGGTGTGTTCTGGTTCTATCATTAGGACGATCTTAATGCTGTAAGTTCAGAAAATTCTAACCATGAAAGAATACACCACAGCAGAGGAACTGGAGTCCATGAATCCCAAGCTGAGACCACATTATCTAAAAATGTCAGACCAGGAATATCAATAGCAGATAATACCATGCAGTAATAACAGCCTGACAAGCTTTTTTCACTGCCTTTTTCTTTTTTCAAATGTGTGGGCATAAGAGCTTGTTTTTGCTTTTAATTACCGGATGTCATTCACCTTTGAGAAGCGAAGGTAAAAAACTGAGGGTTTCAAGTCAATTTATCCTTATATCTGATAAGCAAAGGAAGGGTAGAGTACCAATTTGCCTACTTTTGAAATTGTTAGTACATTCATTTCTGAGGCAGGCTGGCTTTTCTGTGATTAGACTGTACCCATATAAATCTTCATTTCATTTCCATATTTGTAACATGGACCAAATACACCTTGGATGTTGATGGACTTTGCCAAGACAGGAGATTTTGTCCCCGAGTTAATTAAGCTAATGCTTCGTAGCGGGTAGCAACAGTATTTAACAAAAAATGAGCAACAACCGTCTGTGCTTACAGACTGTCTGCTCTGTCTTCCATCCCACGCCTTCCTAAATTCACTGGCTTGATGTAGGTCTGTGATGTTCTTTCTTAGCATCACCCATGCACAGTGAGCCATCACTCCTAAGGCCAAGAGACTGA